TTAATTTTTAGATTTTTTTATTATTTTCAATTTATTTTTTAAAATAGATTATTTTAACAAAATTCTTAAATTCTTTATAATTAAATTATTAAATTTAGCATTCATAATATCATATTTATACGTTTGTATCAAATACATAAATTTATACTATTATATCAAATACTTAAATTTAGAATTCATAATGTCATATTTATACGTTTGTATCAAATACGTAAATTTATACTAATATATCAAATACTTAAATTTAGAATTCATAATATCATATTTATACTAATGTATCATATGTGAATCTAATATTTATACGTTTTTTTTTTATAGTTATTAGTTTTGAAAAAATAAAATAAAATAAATAAATGATACTTATTTTTTCTTATCTATTGTTGATTTCTATTAAAATCTATAAAACATAAAAGTAAAAAAATAAAAAATAAAAATATATATATCTTTATAGATATTATTAATTTTAAATAATAGATCACATTATCAACTTGTCTTATGATAGTAAATAAATCCATCCACCAATAGTCTAATTTTTCATAAAATCAAATAATATTGTGATAGAAAAATAAATCTTTATTTCTTTACTGAAAATAATGAGTGCTCTTTTTTTAATAAGTTAGAAAATATTTCATAATTCCATTAGGATTTTATTAAATAAATATTTAGGATTTTTTCTAGCTTCAACATATGTTTTATAAGATTTTTTATTATATAATTTTTAACTTTTAAATATTATAATATAGGCAAGTAAAGATAATTTTTATAATTAAAATAGAATAATATTTGTCAAATAACAATAAAAATAGGAAATTACTAAATCACCTCACATTTTTATTAAATTGACCTATTCTCTTGTAATTCCACCTACTTTACTAAATCATTTCAATTTCCTTAATCTTGCAAATAAAATTTCCAAATAAATTAAGAATTGTAGGAAAGTTTAGTATTATGTCGGAGCTTGAAAAACTCGATATTTAAAGCAAGTACAAGAATTATGGCTACTATATTTACATCTTCTACATCTTTGTAAAGATCTTTATGGTATAAAACTCGATATTTAAAGCAAGTACAAGAATTATGGCCACTATGTTTACATCTTCTATATCTTTGCAAAGATCTTTATGGTATGCCTTCTTTAATTTCAAATTACAACAAATCACAACATGTAGATGTCTTGATCCATGTAATACTTTATTTCAATTAAATATAAGATCAAAAGAGGAGTAAAGGGATGGATTGATTTAATAAAAATGTGGATCGATTTAGCAATTTTTTAAGAACATTATCATTATAATAATACATAATTAAAAATAAATATAATTTCTAATTATATAAATAGTTATTAATTATTTATGTCTAATACTATTTCATTACTTCATTATTATAATTATTCTTTATTTTTTATTAATTATTTATTTCTATATAATTTACAAATGAAAGCTACAAATCTACTTTTGAAATTAAAAATAGTGATTTTTAAAAACTCTTAACATAAAATTTGGAAATTCATTAGATATTATAAAATTAAGAAAAGTATAAATGTAATGCATGTTGTAAACAATGATCTATGATGTTTATTAATATGATACTATCTTCCAATTTTTTTTGTTGTAGTGAATATTTTTTCTATTATAAATGTAGAATAAAAAAATAAAAATATACATGATACAATTCAATAATAAGAAGATCAAAACTATCTTAAAATTGATGATTTTTATAAAATTCTATAAATATATATATATATATATATATATTAAGATTTTATTTTTATTTTTTATCTAGCAATAAACTATAGAATGAAAAACTTTATTTTATATTTTTTTGTATTTAAAACCACAAAAAGTATGAAAAAGATGAGCTCCAAAATATTTATTATTTCTATGATGTCTTTTGGTAAGATAATCATGACATATTTGTAATTTGATAAACTAGATTGGTCTTCAATGATATATAATCTTTTTTTTTAAATGCATTTTTTTTAAATCATCTTAAAATTTTAATTTGTAAAGATCTTCTTAAAGATATTTAGTCTTTACAACTCATCTAATTTTAAGATTCTTTAAACTTAATTTTTTAAAAAATATTCTATCAACATAAATATTACTTTTAATAAAATTATATTTTTTTAACTTCTAATAAGCTTATTTTGAATAAGTCACACACTAACATTCATTTTTTTGTGACATATCAAAATATATGTATATATATATATATATATATTAATATAGATAATATAATAACTCTAATAAAGATTTTTTTAATTTCAAACAGAATTCTATGCAAAAATGTGACAATCAATAAATTCAACTTATTTTGAATAAGTCACACACTAACATTCAAATATTTAAAGACACAATTTATAACTTAAATCACAAATAAGTATCTTTATGCAAAAAAGACAAAGAAATATAAAAATAAAATAAAATAAAATAAAAATATATATCAATTTTTATTTTATTTTTTATTTCTTAAGATATAGGAACAATTTAGCTCAATTAAGAACCAAGTCTTCATAGAAGAATCAACAAGAGTTAAGTTAACTTTAGTTTTATTTTTATATATATTAACTACATAGCCAAATATTTGTGGTTTAAGCTTCTAGCATGTTTTTACTTAAGTTGGTAAATAGATAAATCTATTACTATACAATACAAAAAAATTATCCATCTATATATTATAAATTTTTATTGGCAAAAAAAGAAAGAGATTTAACAGAGAACTATTTTTTAAAAAATTAAATCTTAAATAAAATTCCTTTATTGTAAGCAAAGCCACCATAATTTCAAAAAAAAAAAAATCTATTACAATTCTTAATAAGCCAAAAAACTCTTTCAAATTTATACAGAAGGAGTTAAAATGGATGTATCAATGTAAGATCATAATATAACCAAACATCAAATATAGTAGATTGTAACATATTCATCTTCTTTAGTGCAGTAGCCAACCACAAGTTAATTCTAAAGATTTCTATTAGTGCAACAATTACTTTGAAAGATAATATAATCTAAATAAAGATAAATAAAACTTCTAATTGATCATAATATTCTAATAACTATTAAAATTCTATATTGGTCAAAGATACATCTACCAAATTATTGAATAAAATGGCCCTTATTGTAGAATATGACTAAATTAATAACAAAATAAAATAGAATAAAATCATCATCCATCCAATTCATATAGTATTGTATCAAGGATGAAAATAGATAAAGATAATAATCAACAATACTACAAATAGCATATGTCTCTTATGTACTCTTGCATTACTAAAAGTTATTTTACTTAGATTCTAGGAATGTCTAACTAGTTAATGCATATGATAATAGGATATGAACATATTTCTAGGCTAAGGCTACAAGTGCACCTCAAATTGCTATATACACATCTATTATATCTATAGACATATCAAAAGCCTCTAAATTCAATCTTTCTTATCTTAATGTATATTCCCATCTCTTCATCCTTGTCTAAACATTAGTCTTAGACCTTATCTCCTTCCTTCTTATTTTTATGTAGGTCCTAAACCTCCTCTCCTTCTTCCTTGTCCTAGCAACAAGACTAGAAAGTCAAGGAAGAAATCCAAGACTTATGCCAAGTCAAGAAAGAAGGAAAGAAGGAAATTGGAACATATATCATAACAAGAGAGAGAAGGAGGAGGTTTAGAATTTGTACGTAGATAAAAAATAAATTAATAAATAAATAAATAAATAAAAAATAAAAAAAAATGACATAAAGAAGGGAATTGGATTTTGTGTTGTGACATGGGAGAAAAGAAGAAGGTTTGAGATCTACACTTAGACAAAAAAGAGGGAAAGAAGGGAGTTGAGATATGTATCATGACATGAAAGAGATGGAAGAGGTTTGGTATCTCTACTTGGACAAAGAAGAAGAGTTCAGACCAACCAATCAAAGGCCTTGAATATGTGTATAGACATAATGGGTGTGCAAATAGCAATTTGGGATGTACTAATAGCCTTAGCTTATTTTTATTTTCTAAGCAAGTACATTCTAAATATAAGTGCATGACTAACTCTTAATTTAAAGTAAAAACAATTTGGCAAAGAATTCTTATGATTCAAAGAGATGATGTTCTTTTGGCCTCAAATACTAAGATGTGATTTTTTTGTAAATATAAAGAGAACAAAATGGTTTAGTTTTTAATCAAAAAATTTGATTATATGCAAAGATAGGTAAAATCATATGATATAAATTTATTACCTACAATAGAACTTATTGGAGCAATACTTGAAGAAGATTCTAAAAATAAAATTTTCTATCTACAAATGCTTAATAAAATATACATTAGAAATAACAAACTATTTATTTGAACAAGAGAATTACTAAATGAATACCCATTTTTTATTGTGTGAACACCCCTTCTAGTATACACCCTTGCATACACACAATAATATCATTTCCACTTGAAAATATATTGATGTCAATATTTTTTGATGATTATATTCTTACTATCAAAAAGAAATATGAAAACAAAAAAAAATAAATTTATTAATGTATCACTTTTGTACCTCCATGGTTAATATCACATATTAAAATTTAAATGTAAGTACCTTTTCACAAGAAATTAAGAAATACACAAAAATACAACACCATTTGTTTTTGTTTTTTTTTTAAATCTTAATAAACTAAGAGAACCACACATGGATGTCCACCTAACAGTTCACTTGAACAAAAGGCAACTCCTTACAGTAGAACTATACTCCACCTAAAATAAATAGAGTGCATCCTATACCCACACAGTTATCAAAATCCATGTAAAAAAAAAAAAAAAAAAACTTCAAGAAAAGCATTAATCAACAAAGAAATTCACCCCCTTACGGCGTCCAATAGGAGTAACCAATCGACATCATAGTACGTCATTCTCCTCTGAAGATTCACTATGCCCAAGTTCTGAACAGTGGTTTTGCAAGAGAATCATTTGTAGACTGACAAATTCAGACTGATTTTGGGATTCAATCATTCTTGAAACATTGCACAACGCGATCAGGTAGAATGTAGCAAGCTGCTTCATCTTAGTACTTCCAAATCAAAACGGCCAGACTGGCTTACCCACATACTTCTTGAGCAAGTCAGATTCAGTAAAGCCTGGATATAACTTTGTGAACTATACTCTCCTCCTAAAGAGACAATATGTAATTCCATGGAAACATGGAAATACCATACATTAACACTAATTGCAAACCTCAAGGACTGAAATCAATCGATGTAAGGCACCCCATCCCAACAATTCATCCAATATATATATATATATATATATATATATATTTATGTCTTGCTAGTGTTCGGATAAGTGCTAGTGTTAACATAAAAACACGGGTCATATGGTTCTCGGGACAGTCGCTGAAAGCCTCTAGACGCTCAGGCAAAATTGTATCTAAACCTCCTTGAGAAAATTTGAAGGAAGAAACAGCTAGACGATCTCTCCCCGAAGTGGCCATCACAAGCCTACCAAAAACAATCACAGCTGAGAGTCGAAGGTGTCAACGAAATCATCAGGGTATAATCACATCGGATATTTTGGCATTACCCAGAGATACATACTGCAGCTCCTGTACCCACACCTGCAGGACAACATAGACTCATGAGCATCCAACCAGAAACTAAACCAGAGATTTATGACAAACAAAATGTACCCATCATATATCTAAAATGCGTAACTATAGAATGGGTTGCAAGCAGTAAAAGAAGCTATGATTTCACACCTGATGACGGAACTCCACGCGCATGTGAGGGACATTTGTCTTATGGATATCATTGCCCTCAGGACCCCTTTTGTAATAATTCTTTCCAAGCCAGTGCGACTGCATCAGTGACACGGCCACATTGATCAGATAAGTTGAACATTGCATCGACTGTGATTGAAACAACATAGAACACAAGGGCGATGAATTCGAATTCACAAACTGAGAAAAAGTTAAGGCTACACCTTGGTCCTGTGGTTGAAGCCTGATTGAAGAACGGAATTGCGAGCAATTTCGCAAAGATCGCAAGAGCTCAGCTTCCACACCTGATGAGGTGCACAACAATTTACACATGAGGTTGACGTCAGATGTCTGAGGAAATTTCACGAACCTAACCTCAGCATTTGTGGTCTCAAAGCAAGAACAGAGAAGATAATGGACAGAACCTGTGCAGCAATGCTGTACTCTTCAACAAGAGGCTCCTTGGTAAGATGAATTTGTAGAGGATCATCAGTTGACAACGATACGTTGAGACCTCGAGAAAAGAACATGGGGAAAGGATTGCGATGGTAGTCTAGGAAAAGGGAGTTGTTGCTTAAAGGAGACATGGCCAATCCAATCTGTAAATCGATAATGAGAAACATATGAGTCGTGATAGATATATCTTTCACCCGGTTATGTCACCCTATATGATGGATCTCATCTGAGAGACGGAGAGTAAAGATCAAGCAATAATCTTAGAGGAAGAGTGCCACACCTGAGCAAGGTAGTAAAGGTATTGTAGACCAGGAGTTTTGCGCAGATTGTTTCCATGTGCAATATTGTGAGCAACCAAGAAAGATGCTGCTAAATGATCTGAATCTCCTGCCTGAGACACACAAATCAATATCCAAGTAATCGTAAGCCTATTTTACAGGATTATTATACATGTCACAAAAAAGAGACCATGTCACTCTGCTTCTGAAGTTTCCTACGGTACCACCAATTTCATTGGTTCTTCCATACACCGAAATACCATACTAGCATCTGATCTAAAACTGCATCCAGATGAGATGTTACTATGCCTCGCCACAAGCCCCAAACTCACGTCAAAATCAAAATTCAAGCTAGTGACTTTCCCCATACCTCTCCTGTATGTGGACGGAATTTAATGGTAGGAAAGCCCTTGGATTCCCTCAACTGCCATTATAAGTATCGTTAGTATTCAAGCATTGCGAGCATAATCTTCCCAATTTGGACTTCATTGGTAAGAAGGAAGGACACCATTGATTTAAAGATTCAAGAACTCAGAGCTCAACATTCGGTCACGAAACGACGACATAAAAGTAGGAATGAAGTACAAGCAGAAGGGAAAATACAAAGAAGGAAAGTCAACGTCAACCTACATTTCTATTACATTCTTAAGGGATGTAATATCTGAATTCCAAAACACATTTACCTTGTTGAGTGTGTAAAGATTTGCGTATACATAGTATGCCCAGTATGAATACGCCGGATTAAAAGGGTTGTCCCATTTTGCAGGTGGTTGCATGTGCTTTGTTGGCCGCCTTTCAGGCTTGCTTTCATCATCCACCATGTCAAATCCCACCACCTAGTACGCACAAAGGAAAGCGTACAAACCATAGTATCATGACTTTTGTATGACAGAGCACCGCATGAAGGAGCACCTCATGCAATCGTAGTTCAGATGGCTAATGTGTGCAAGAATGAAGATGCAAAACTGAGAAGAACAGTAATTTAGTAGTTTTTTCAACTCACCATCGAGAGTAAGACGTGGAGCTGCGGATGAGAAGATGGATCCACAGTAACTTCAAAAAGAGGGGCAAAAACATTTTCCAAAATCATCTCGAAGGATTGCACGACACCCATCTCCTTGTACACATTGTAGAGCCTGGGTAACTGAAAACAAAACCAAAACCATACAGCGTGGTTAAAGAAATAACCTATCACTTCAGTATGAGAAAAGGAACACGACTGAGAGACGTTACTTGCAACGAGACATCCTAGCATCACCGAGTAGTTGCTAAAATATTGTAGAACTTGGGATTAATACTTACATTCTTCTGTACATTTATCGGATGGATTTGTCTAATAAATGCAACGCTCATCTTCAGAACTAGAATAAATCATGTGTGCTACAACTATATATTGAAATCATTCCTCCTCAGTCAATCCCTTTATCACAATAAAATGCTCCCAAATAATGTTTCGTATAAGGACAAACAAATTAAAAGAACCTGGATAAGCCAAGTGACGTTTTCACTGTACAGCCGATTGTCAACTATCCAACTTGCCAACTGATCCCACTCGCTCTTCTTCCTTCCGTAAATTGATATCCTGTACTCAGCCATCTACATCACAGACAAATAAACAGGTTATTTGTTTTTGTAAACGGATACACCGTAGTTCTACGCTTAAAAGTCATCCAAGTTAACAACGCCATTCGCGTATATCATAACAAATGAAAGCATCCGTGAATTCAATGATGAAAATTTGAAAAACCATGCGAATCCCAAGTGGCAATCACCAATAGCTCGTTAAAACCACGACAACATGGCCTCTTTCGGTATTGCACTGACCTGATATTTACTTGCTTTAAGATCAGAAAAAACTTGATGAGTCAACTCTGCTAAGAAGCGACCTGTGTCGAAAAACCACGTGTACACCTCAAGTTAATAGCTAAAGTGCACACAAATTCTGGAGCTAGACCAAACAGCACGAAGTCAAAAGTACAAAATACCTTGCAAAAGTGCTTATCCACATGTTCGAGATTATAATGAGAAAGTACAGCTCAGAGTTATGAATAGCTAGCCTGGGGTAGTATTAGAAGAAAAGGATTAATAAGTCTTCTACCAAGATAATATATAGAAGGATTCAACCAACATCCTTTCAAATACAAGCAAAATGTGGCTCCAGAGTACAAGATCTAGCGTCATTCGAATGTTGAGAAAATGCTTTTTGATAAGAGCACTACCTTTGATAAGATTGTCTTGCTTCAGGAAAATCTCCCTTAGCCTACTCTGGCCACAAGGATTGTATTTCAGGTTGAACTTGTCGAAACGATGAAACGTATTTTTGTCAGCATGAACATCCAGCAAGTCCACATTAAGGTCGTAACTGCAATTCAGACACAAGACCAGCACGGTAGATATACATGAAAATCATTTCAAAGTGGTATACTATAAAAAGGAAACAAAAATAATTAGAAGACGAAAGCAGTCAAAGAAGCACAGTCTAACAATGCAAAATATCAAATCACAACACAGAATTTACGCCTGAGAGTGCCAATAACTTCACTAACATAGATGAGCAAGCGGGAAGCCACAATTGCTCACCCAGTTAGGTCCAAACTTTCAAAAACCTCCCGTAAAGTGAGGTACTTTCCATCACGATAGATGACAACCTGATCACAAAATTCATCAAACAGTTAAAGCCACCCAACAAGCACCTTCTTAGAAGATCACCTTATTTCAGAACGGAAGGCCAGTTTCTTTTGTTCTAACATGATTTTTCTGGCCTAAAATTCTCATATCTCCCGCCCAATCGTACCCCAGGCTATTAACCAAGTGAACATCAATGACTGGCTTGGTTTCGCAAGGCAACGCAAACTCAACTCACCTCAGAAGCCTCCTTCCGTAGCTTAGATTTGATGAAGCGAAGCAGATGTTTCTGGTTCATGCACGAAGAATGGTGTACATGTGTGTCAACTTTCCGAACGTTATAGAAATCTCGATGGGGTGCACTTTTTTGAGCGAGAAACTCACGGTCTGCGTTCAACATCAGGTGCAAACTGAATTTCTGTAGCAACCCACAAAGAACTTCAGCATTTTCGCATAAAGAGTAACCGTGTTTGCCAAAGATCTTGCGTCATCAAACTTTAGATGAACGTATTAACACGACTAAGGTAATAGACTCGGATTTTTGGAAAGAATTTGATAGTAGAGTCTAAAAAATATTCAAAGTCAGTTTTCTATACATCTTAAAAGAAACCATCCTGACCTGCTCAAGAAGTTTGAGGCGATGATGGCACAAAGTCCGCACACTACCAAGCGAAATAATTCTCAATATGCGATGCATGTCGGTGAAGAAGGTGGTAGCATCATGCACTAGATATAGTTCCTCTGACACTGTAACCACAGATAACTAGGTCATTATCTTTCCAGCTATGCGATGCTCAAAGCTGTCATATATTGAGATGGCAGTGAGGGATTCTAAATCCATAAACAAAACGTGTGAACACAAATACGTAGCTAATAAGTAGAGTCCAAATGCAATGAGAAAGCTTGGAACGAATGCCAATCTCTTGATAAAACCAAATACACTAAAAATCGCTGACGTTAACCATCTAAATATTCGTATAGATTGTATTAAAACTGAACAGCTTGAACTCACTTTCTATGTCAGCATAGACTCGATAAACGCCATCCACCATTTTGTAGGTATGCTGAGCACCACGTAAAAATAAACCAAGGTCAAACTCTCGTTAAAGTCGACGGATGGATATCAACTAAATGAACATTAAGTCCAGGATCTGCGACAGGAATACGTGAGCGTCATGAAGACATAAAAATGTCTCAAAAATTGAAGAAGTTGTCTTCATACCAAAGCAGTATTTGATTGAAAAGGAGCTGAGCTAACTTTGAAAAGGAAAAAATGTAATAAGACTATTACTTGTACTCTGAAAAGAAAACTCTCAAAAGGAACACATACCGAGGATGCAATTTCAGGTTTGAAGAAAAAAGGTTCTGGATTTGGCACGGGGGTACCAGGCTCTGTGATTTCCTCCTTCTCCCACGGAGGAATCTTTTCTCGAAATACATACTTGTCTCGTAGACCCAGACATTCATGCATGTAGTTGCACACCTCCTGCTCCTCTTCAGAAGGCGCCTCTACGGACCATGCCAAATGAACGCAAGATTAATTCATAACGACCAGAATCTATTTTGAAAAGAAATTAATTAGCTTATGATGTTCTTCACTAGAGCGGCACCCCAGGGGTTCTTGACAGCCATTACCGAGAAACTGACCTAAGGAAGAAGATCAGATTGCGCTGCAAGGAGCTTGAATGCACAGATAGGTAGTTGTACGCAGGGCCAGAAACTCTTGCATTAGCAAGTAGTCTTCTTTCACTTCATCTGAGCATTATATGAATCCCACCATACACTCTTTCAGAGAGCTTATGCGTCCATTCAATGCGGCAGCATATATTATAATATTTCGAGGCGAGGACCTAACTTAAGAGGAAGGAAATAGTGTAGAAGAGATCCAAGAGGAAACTGATTCACGACTGTATGATTCAAGACTGCATTCCGAAAAGAAAAAGTCGAATACACCCCACATTCCACCAAATCGCCACGGTAAAAAAATATTGAATTAAATTAAATTAAATTAAATTAAATTAAACACCAACCTGGGACAGATAAAATTTACATAGAGACAGAGGAAGTACCTATAGGTGACACGTTAAGTTTGACATAAGTTTCTTGCTCAGGGAATTTGCGAATGATATCAGCAGCCACTGGATCTGGGGCATGAACACCATGCAAATCCCCACTTATGCTGTGTGATCGCATCAGGTTTGTAGATGATTTATCACCACCAGCTTTTTGTGCTGCATTCTCCGCACTTGGGGGCTGAGGTTTCACAAGCCCATCCGCCTATGCACGCATCAAAACAAAACGAAGTATAACTTACATTATGGCATATTATCAGAGAAAAACTACTGTAAATCATTGAATGGACGAGTGGTTACATACACCTAATACAATGCAAAAAGCGGTCAAGTTCTAAAAAGTCCGATTTCTATACTAGCTGCCTCAGGTTGCATCACCTAGAAATGTGTGAACTCACCAACTCAGCTCCGCCATTAGTTTCCCCATCTACTACTACATTTTTCTGATTAACCTCATCCAGTTCTCCATTGAGAGTATTCTCGTCTCGCTCTCCATTGCAAACAGTCTCGTCTCGTTCTCTATTGTAAGAATCCTCATCATTTTCCAGCAGGTGGTCCTCTTCTTCTGAACCTTCCACACTTTCATATGACCCAACCCCAACAGGGGAGCTTGGGGAATCGAAGACCTCGATCGCAGAGGCTGGCTTCATTGGAACTGGTGGGCGCCGTGCTTGACCCGATGGCTGTGCTCCAACTGTGCCATAACCATCAGACGACAGTTAGGAACTATGCAACACATTTAGTTGAGGTAAATCTCATAAATACAACAAAGAACCAGACATAAATTTCATAAATGGACCTGTTTTACTTGACAGAGTATTCTGCTGCAGTAACAGAACATTTGTACATGTCGTTTACTAAGGGATTGGTACTATGTAGTCGTTCTCACGAATACTAAACATGTATTGGCAGAGCTAAACGAAGGAGAAGAATGCTAGCTCACCTCATGCATGCTAATTCGGGAAAGAAAAAAAAAAAAAAAAACAAACAAACAAACAAACAAACAAACAAACAAGGGAAGCCAGAAGGTATAGTGATGTAGAACCAAATAAATACACTGTAACCATACCTGTGGACGGTGCAGAGGAATTGAAGACAGACTTCACAGTGTCATTCGGCTTTTGTTCGAGCGAAGGTCCATTTCCCCCAAGCATTGATCCTTTCACGGATCGCCTTTGTCGAGTACCGGGTTTTCGCCTTCTCTGACCCCCTATGTCTAGCATCTGCTGCGATTGCAACTGATCTATAGATCTGCAGTGTAATATGTAGGAAGATGCGGCAACTAGGGCGGCTCCTAACATAGCTGCCACGGCAACCGGCACCCAAGCTGCATGAATGCTGGACGAATTCTCCATGTCCGGAAACCAATGAGAGATTGGTTTCAAACTGGAAGCAGAAATTTGAGATGCACCCTGTTGGACTCCTTTACTCAACGCATGAACCAGTGCACGAGACTGCAATTGAGCAGCAAAACCTAAAAACAAACCAATCACAATTACTCAGATATGAACACCGCGCAGAATTTGCTTCAGAAACTTTAGATACGATCATCCTACTGTCGAGCTACCCAGTGCGACGCAGAATGCACCCTTCGTACTTGAAAGAATCCCCTACGTAGTTCTATTACACAAGGGGTACAAGATTGCATTAGTACCCTTAAACCCGAATCGGCCCACCTGTACAGGTCACACAATATGGCTGCCTGTAAAATGAGTGTCAGAGGCCCTTCATAAAAGGCAACCATAGTCGTTTCCAATTCTACAATTACTGCAATTTCGCTAATTTTAGCGTAATAGACCTCCATATAATTATTATTTTTTACAAAAAACTAAAAACCCGTCTAACAGTACTAACATCAGACCTAATTAAGTCCTAATGTACGCCTAAATCCAGCATGTTCGCTGAATATGATTGCAGTAACCCCGGATCAAGAAGATGAAAGGGTCGTTTTAATTCAGCTCAAAACTCTCTTTGCAGCACCATTAGGCAACCCTAATCCTGCTTCTGATACTGAGCTGCAGACTTGGCTGGCTAATCCGATCAAGGAGACATACTTCGAACCGTGTGGTGAGACTCCACCCCACCACTGAGCAAAGCACTCAAAAGTAGGGGAAAAGAAAAGTCAAGTCTCGTTAGATCGTTACCTCACTCAGTACAATCGAGGAGGAGGCACGGACGAGGAATACGCCACAAGGTCGTGACCATTGCCGGGCTACCTCAATTTATCACTACGGGTGCGTCTGTAGTACAACCAACTCCGGCTACAGGATTCAGACCTGAAGAAGGGGAAATCGTAAGCGCATGTGTGAGAAACCATCCAATGCCAGATCGAAGCGAACCAGCTTTCCGAAACACGGAGATCTCACGTCAAAGTCATGTCCCCTCTCCCTCTCCCTCTCCCTCCCCCAACCAATCTACAGGCTGAGTCCAACTAAAACAACATGTCACGTGACGACCCAAACACTAGTCTCAACACTAAATTCACACTTGGAAGCAAAAATCCTAGCCAGGGATGAAGATTCTAGCTTATCACGGAAAAAACTACAATTCCATTTTCGTTGACCTTCAAAGCAAAGCAGCTGGCTTGCTGATCGAAACAGACAAGCTCGAAGATAGAGCGGAGCTTCGCACTCTGCAGCAGCTCAGCTAAGCTACCCGACTGGATTCCCTGCTTCCCCTCGTCAACACGCAGATCTACAAGCACCCACGTAGGGAGCCACACCTAAATTAGTGAAGCGCCGCGGACACACCCAACAGCGATGGAACAAATCCAGCAGACTCAAACAGCACTACAATGAACGTTTCAACGCACTAAATAAGGCAACAAGCATTATAAAAACTCGCCCAGCTTCCAGACGTCGGAAATTCAGGCGTGGAACTTCCGGTTATGGCTCATTAGAAACGCGCACATCATTCACAAGAGGCACGTGATGCATCGCCTCCGATCGAATTGAGCAAAAATCTGCCTTCATCGTGAGGCTCATCATCCGCAGGGACCGGCATGCTCCCCCGAATAGAGAGTCGATCCCATGGGTGAAGGATGAACATCATCTCTGTATCAACGAACGACGTCACGGTCCACCACGATCGTGGACGACAAATATCAACCGGAAGAGGTATTTCGTCCTCAGAGGCAACGAAACGTTCTCCCACCCCCCCCCCTCCCCGCAACGATGGTCGGAGGTGGAGACATGAAAGCTCGATGGCTGTTAGAAATAAAAACCCACCTACTATTTGCCGAGTTCCAAGACAAGGATACTACTGTATTGATTGGTTGGCAGCCACCAAACAGAACGAGGAGCAGACTGACCTAACGCCCTTTGTTTTTCCTAATTTAGCATAAGCGTGCGAAGTCTAAATAATACATCAATGCATTTTTTTTAAAAACAACAGGACACAAAATGTACTGCTACAACAACAGTTGGGTGGATGAATGAAAGGTTGGTGCACTAATGGGGCTCTCAGGCTTTTTGTCTGGCTTACAATTTACAAATGGATAGTGGAATGGAGGCTCTGAGGCTGATAGACATATTTTCCCAGGGAGGATTCAACCTTTGACCATGCTTTGGACAGATCCAGTGGCAGCCACTTACACAATCAAATATATTTTTCCTTTGCCATGCATTTGGGGTTTTGGATATAAGGAATGAACAAGTTCATCCCATTGACCTCGGATCCCGCGCACTCAATGGATGGAATATTGACTGGTGGAGATCCTCCCCCTTGACCTCCCATATATGAGGAAAGGGGGGAGGGCAGGGTAGGGATTCACTACCGCCTTAATTTGTCACTGGAGGTCACCAAGCACACCTGTCAGTTGGGGGTTTTGAACTAAGCAAGCCTGCATTTTGAATGGAGCCCAACTTTTATTTAATAGTGTTTTATTGTATTTTCATATTTAACTGTGGTGGGCTGACTGCCACATGAGTCTCATTCCAAGCACTATATGGGACAGTTCTTTGTTTTGCCGGTGGAAACATGGTTGAGAGAGTGTGAGGACCACACCACCCATAGTGCACAACAGTTCCTCTGAATCCAAATTTTCTCTCCTTGGTTACTGTCATTTGCTCATTTGTGGTCAAAGCCCAGCTTGGAGACCAACTTAAAAAATGTGACCCCCTGGTACAACTGGTTGATTGAACAGGCAGATGCCATGTCAGCACATGATGTAAAGCTACAAGGCCAACTTCTCCCACAGACAAGTTTCAAGGGATTGTAACACTCTGCCAAGCATTCTAAAAACCTAAAAATCTCAATCCCATCTGAAATTCCCAGTGGGATAGGACTGGGTTTGACAAGACCCCCCCCCCTCCCCCATCTCACAGCTCACACTGGCTAAGGATGAATGACGTCATAGAGAGATGTTCATCCATATCTGGACAAGCTTGGAGACTTGCATTGATTGTGATCTGCTTTCATTGTGTGTGTACAAGCTTTGGGAGGGGGGGTGTTTGTGTGAAAAGCATGAATCCAGAATGCCAAGTATCTAAGTTATTTTCACTCTTTTTCATGAAGTTGGTGTACAATCTGTGATTTGTTTTTGTTTTTTATTATTAAATTTTTTGAGTCAGGGCTACAAAGGTGTGAAGTAAGGTCCAGACCCATGAGCATGGTTTTGATGATCTTCCAGCACATGGATCATGTGGCCCTTTTCTCAGCACTCCTCACAAAATAATGCTTTGGCCCTCCCCATGAGTTGTCATCATCCTGGTGCCCCCAACCCATCATTACATCATGTGTCATATGCACATTATCTCATACCCCATTTGAGTTTTTTTCACACTATAGCAATGTACGTAAAGATGCTTTTTCCTTCGAGTCTGAGGATTTTCAATATATCACACATGCTGTGGCATTTAGGGTTGAAATGTGAAAAAGTGTGTGCCATGCTAAGTATAATTTCATGAAAACAAAAACATAGAAGTTCAAAGAAATGTACACTTTTTTCTAGCTTGGCCCAAGTTGTTGTTTTGTAGCCAATTGTGAACTACTAAGAGAGTGAGGTTGTTATGCCAATTTGTTCAAAAGTGTGTTTGAAGGAAAGTATTGAAAGATCAGACACATATGTACATATATACATATACATATACATACAGACAGAGAGAAAGAGCATATGTGTACAGTCCAAAGATCTTCTTTTTCTTGTTTTTTTTTTTTTTTGTTGAACTTCTACATGAAGGAATATATGTTTGTGTGTGAGTAAAAACTAAATAATATCATAGTCATCATGCTCCCCTACTGGAATTTTAAATAGAATCTTCATCCAAACCATAAAAAGTCACCCCATATTTGTACCAGCAATTGTATTCCCCATTCCGAAAAAAAAAAATAAAAAATAAAAAATAAAAAGTTCTTCTTCCAGGATCAATTGTCTTCTTCAGTGGTTGAGAATTGATGCCCATGGTAGCAAATCTAAACAACCCCTCCCCCTAAAAGCAAAACCAGCCCTTTTTGTAGTTTTCATATCCAAAATATAATATAAAAATTCAAAACAAGAATCACTAGCCTGCTTTAATAATTGGCAAGTTGAGAGAGAGGAATGGGGCAGGGTAGGCATTTGGGTTTCATCATGATTATGGTGGATGCATGTTGACAGAAAGGAGTTTGGTCAATGAACTGTGTTGCAAAGGCTATGCTGCAAAAGCTGGGGTGGAGTCAGCAATGCCCCAAACCCAGTCAGTCCATGCACACTCAGCATAAGGGCCTGTCACCTCTTCTTCATCTTGTGGGCTCAAGTATTGTTGCGTGGTGAGCAGGCCTTGCAGCGTTTGCTGATCTCATGGAGGAATGGTGCTTGTGTGTGTGGGGAAGGGGGAGTGAAAGGGGTACTACTACTGATACTACTGCTACTACAACGACTGTGTTACACTTACTACCCCACTAATTTTCTTCCATTATACTTGGCTTCTATCTATTTTCATTTTACACTTAACAGTATCTAGGTGAAATATGAAGGTATACAAGCAGGAATTGGACAATTGTGAGACAGGAAGTTGTAGCAGATTCCCAGTGCTAAAAAAACAGAAAAAAGAAAAGTATTTGGAGCATGAAATTTTTACTTCTCCTTTACAAATTAAAAATTTCCCAAATAACTTTTACATAAATTTGTTCATTTGTTCATTTTTCAGCATTAAGCAATATAATTATTAGAATGTTCTTTGCTATTATATGACTTTCACACCAACAGGTACAACAGTATCACTATTTCAGCTACGCAAGTAGATTGATAAAAGTTGAGTATGCAAAAGATAATTCTGCTGTTTAGATTTCTAATTGAATAAGTTGAAATTAAGTTAAGACTCAATCCATCAAATTTGGGGTTTTATTCTTTGAAATATAAAAGAAATAAATAACAAGTGATTAAAAAAGAATAGCAAGCACTGATTTTGTCATAAACCTTCCAGGATATGTGAATAAATGCAAAAAATCTTGGTACCAATTTATTCCGATTCTGTTAATTAATAATGTTCCAATAAGTTCTGTAAATAAATACAACTGTAATATTACTTATTTATATTATAAGTATTAGTACGCCATCTAATTTATATAGTAGTGAGTAATAATATGATGGTATTACTAAATTTAGTAGAATATATTGTGTAAGTACCACTAAAAAACAGATAATCACATTTTAGATTATTTTAATGTTCTTGTAACATTGTTATTTTTTAAAATATATTGAATGAAAAACTTATTTTCATATTTAAATCCTTTTTGCCAAAATTAAAAACATCATTTATGTTTTCCAAATCTTTAATTTTAGTACCAAAATATGTTTTTAAAATGCTTTAAATAGCATTTTGTACAAAGTTCCTAAAATTTTAAAATAGCAATACGGTGCTTAAAATAATTACTTCCCATTAAATAATTAAAAGAATATTATGCATAGTTAATAAATGTATTGGTATTTATATATTAAGATCCAAAGTCTTTAGAAGTTTAAGACTTTATATTTGAGAATTTATATACAATAGTTAATTCTTATTTTAAAATTATTATTTTTTATTATTAAAAGTATAAATATTATTGTTTTAATTTTGTACATATATGAAACAGGTCAGAATAAAATATATAAAATATAAAAAATACAAAATATAATATTTATTTTATTATTTTTATAATTATTATATATTTTTTAATCTCATATTTGGTACATTAGAATAAAATTGAATTTTATTGTAAATTTCTTGATATCTATAAGATATTAGCTACATATTGTTAAGAGCACAAATATGAATTAAAATTTAAAATTAATATATTCATGTACTACATAGAATGAAAAAAGTAAATAAAAAAGATATATGTGAATATAAGATAGAAATTAATTAGAGTGTAATAGATGTCTATATTATTAAGAAGTAAGGAGAACTATATTAAGTGCATTAAGTACATACTGTCTTCATCAAGAAATTTTAAGGAAACTTTTTAGATATAAATTACGTTTTTTAATTTCTCTATTTATGTTACACTATTATTTTAATTTGTTCTATAAGTTTCATACTTTTGAAAAGATGTTTTAGTAGCAACCTATACTTTGGATCCTTGGAATTAAAGCCTTCTAGTCTTTAGAAAGCTCCACCACAAACTACTTCTGATAGCTAGCATATACAAGTAAAGTTGCAACCATCTTTAGTTTGATTAATGTTTTATATTCTAAGTTTGATTCAAGACTCTAATTTTTTTTTTTTTATTTGAAAATATTAATTCTAATTCCTTTCTATCTTGTGTCTATTAGTTTTGGAAACTGTTAGGTAGATATCCCCTTTTCATTCAATAGACATATACATCTCTATACACACTTTTGATAAAAATTTATTAGATTTGATTTTAAATAAAATTTTATTTTATTATTTTGCATTGATTAATAATAATAATAATAAATAAATAAAAATATTTTATTTTTTATTATTTAAAAAATCAATTTGATAAATTTTGCAAGAAAATACATTAATTAAAACTACATTAATATGGAGCTATAGAATACAAATGGATAAGGGTGTATCAAATTTTGGTATTAAAATAATAAAAATCATAGTTTAAAATTAAAACTAGTTATTTTTTTGTGTAGGTATATATGTATGGATACTTTATATAAGAATGTCCATGTAGAAAAAGTGAGGTGTCTACTTAAAAATTTATTTTTTTAAAGCTTACTTTCTCCTTTCTTGGTGATATACAAGTACATTATCTTTCTAAATTTTTAATTAAATACATATCCTTAATAGTGAGCCTAAAATATAATAATAATAATTGAGACTAAAATATAAGAAAAGACATGACATAACTAAGAATGGCTTCATTCTTGTCTTTAGTCTATGTTAACAACTATGAAGAAGGTCTTGTAGAAGCTTATGACCACAAAGCTTATAGCACAAATATCAAGTTGTAGGTTACTTCCAATTTAAGTTCTTAAAATTTAAAAAAATTAAAGATTTTTTTTTAATAGCCAGATGCTATATATATATATATATATATAAACTAAATCATAGTTTATTCTTTTTAGAATCTTAAAGAAGACATTATCTATAAAATATGTTTTTATATGAATTTTCTTACTTTTGTTTATTTAAATAATATATTCATTTATTATATTATTCTTCCTTCAAGAGACTAAATTCTACAAAAATCAATTAATTTGTTTGATAAGTTGATAAAATCCAAGATTTATTAAATAGTGTTAGCATCAAATTTTGATTTATATTCTCCTTGAAGGTAGTCCATAGATTTCTCTAGCCATAAATAATATTTCATACTAATGCAAGAAGACCATTTAGTTGTTTGATTATTATTGAGGCCTATATAAATACCTTCAAATAACATGTTTTAAATGGTATTACAAAGAAATTTTAAGAATTGATCATAGAACATGTATTTTCTTGTTTTTAATAGTTGGTCTTAGATTTTAATGAATGTTGATAAAAAGAAGAAAAAAAAAAGTTTAAATGCATTTGCATGATTTTTAAATGGTCTATATGTATATTAAATTTTTTTGTATTTGTGCCAATGTACAAAATATTCTAATTTCTTTTACTATTGTCTTAAATTCAATCTTCTTCTAATTTAAATTATTTGTTGTTTTTTATTTTAATATTTAAAAATATTTTTATCAACTTCGAATACAAGTTATTCTATTCTTAAAAAATTAATAATTTTTTTTATAATATTAGTAAAATTTTATTTTGTTTAAAATTTATTTTAAGCCTCTTGTAGAAATATTTTTATTTTTATATAAATCTCTATTATTTTATTTGCCATATCCTCTACTATTGGATTTTTTACTTTAAAAAAGTCAAAAGTATGAAATTATGGATAAAAATCATAATTGGTGAAATAATGGTAATTATTAAGTAGCTAAATTTATTATATTATTATATGTAAATTTTGTTAATAACAAAAAAAAAATTAATTATCTTAATTGTAGTTGATAATATATTGCAAATACTTCTCAAATACTTAATTCACATGTTTTATTTATTTATTAATTTTAAGATAATAAACTAAATATAATTAGATATTAATCATTAAAATATCAAAAAACCTCTTCTAATATCTTGATATAAACTAGGATATTTATTTTTATAAAATCATTTAGAAGTTTATGATATTGATATATTTTATTACTAAAAAAATAGTTATTTTATATTAATTTTATTTTTTGTAATTTCAATTATATGACTTTTATTTTCCTAATCTATCAATATTTTTTTTATAAATATTATTATATCATGATAATCCTTATATATCTTTAAGAAATCCTTTAGAACCTTAAGTTGAATGTAAATCTAATATTATATGAAATTAAAATAGATTTTATTCTTTTATAGCTTATATTAATGTTTTAGCTCCAATTATGAAATTAAGATGGTTTTTTGGTTTTTGGACTAAATTTTAAAGTGATCTTTTGTATTTTTTGATTAATACTATAATTATATAATTTAAGAAAAAGAAGACCAAGTACCATTAGATTTGAAAGACATTAAATAATATTGAAGACAATATTTTATACTTAATCTCTAATTAACACTTGTAACCACTTGATTTTTTTAATAATATTCTTAGATACAAATAGTTTTTTAATAATAATTTCTAATAGAGCCAATTGGATTATATTTGAAAAAATTAATTTTTTGTAATAAAAAGTCTTTATTTATAGAACATATTAAGGCATAAGTGTCTTAAAGTTCTAGAAGCTAAAAATTCACAATCTAAATTTTTAACAGTTATAGAAGGTTAAAAATAAGGTATAGAATTTTGTGGTAGCATAAAACCTATATTTTCTAGTTCCAATCTTTGTTACAAGTAAGTTTATGCAATTTTTAAAAATAAATAATAACTAAACATGATCTTTATTGCAAAAGTTGAAGTTTTGTATTGTAACCTCTTTTAAATTATTCTTTGCAAATGAAATTGAAAATGCTTCAAAAAAAGAAATTACTATTATAGAATACTTATAAATCCTTCTCTATTAAAAGTAGAAACTAAGAAATAACATTTCTATATAGAATTGTATTTATAAATATAATTTGAGTGATACCATTGAAATGTTCAATATTTAGATGTATATTAAATCAATATTAAAGTATAAAAAAAGGTATTAAGAAGACTAAAAATGACCTCACTCTTGTCTCTATATATACTAGCTACTAAAGTCTTTTAGAAGTTTCATAGGAACCATAAGGCTTGTGGTCCAAAAATCAAGTTGTAGGTTGTTTCTACCTTAACTTCTTAATATGAGAAACTTGTAGAATAAATTTCAATAACTACGTGTTATATCTGTAAAATTCTAAATATCTCATCTACATCTAAGAAACTTTCTTAAAACTTCTTAAGGAAGATATTATCTATTAAACATATTTCTATCTACTTCTATTTAATTCTATTTTTTAAGTAATGTATGTATATATTACTCAAAGATAATAAAAGTGTATTAAATAATTTCACCATCTCAAATAACTCATATAAATGCACTTGTATCAACTAAGAAATTAAGAATTAATCTTCTCAAAATATTTGAAGTTTGTAGATGGAGTTTTAACAATTTATCAATTATATACAACTTTTTGTTCAATTATAAATGTCTTAATTACCCTATCTAAACATCTCAATTTATATTTATTAAAAACTTATTCAGTAGATATTTATTTACTAATTTTTATTATTTTAAAATAATAATATCTTATATTTAGATAACTTTAATATATTTTTGATAAATATTTTAGTCTATATATGAATGATATGTTGTAATTTATAAATTAAATTATAAAATTAAAATTTAGCAAAAATATATTTATTTATATCAACATATACATTAAAACTTTAAAAACTAGTAATTGCTGTTATATGCAACATTGCTACACTTATCAATTAATTCCTTTTCAAGTTAAAACTTGATATAAAAAAGTTAATGTTTAATTTTATTGGTCTTCATATGATGAATCAATGAATTAATCAATTTATATTTAATCATATTCAACATCTTCTGAAGACTATATATTATGTTTTGATTTATGATTTTTGATATTTTTTTTTCTTAATACAAGTCTATTTAGATTCTAAAAACTTACAATTTATACCTTTTTCTTATTACATAATTTATATAATTAAAGAACATATATAAATATGTATATATAAATATATAATATTATTAGATCTTATATAATTATCAATGATATAACTTAATACTTGAGTACTTAAGTAAAATAGTTTATTATGTGATAAATTATTATTATTATTATTAACATTATAAAAATTTACATTAATTATTAGCTATAAATATTTAAGGTTTCTAAAAATAATGAGTCTATATAATTGCTGTAATAATTTATGATTATTATTTATTTATAATTATATATTATAATTATTATATTAAAACTTAAATAAATAAATAAATAAATAAAATTAGACAAGATATAGAGGAAAAGATTAATGAGATTTACAAGAAAATTCTTCAAAACAATCCACAAAGTAAACATGAAAATAAATGTCATCTAACAAACTATCATCTATAGTGGATTCACAATAGACAATAGATTCTACTGTGTATCTATTGTTTCTAAGCTTAGATCAAACTCCTTGATGCATTAATCATCCAATTTAGTTTTAAGAGACTATATTTTTCTATAAGTTTTCTCATTCTTGACCTACCTTCTTTTGGTTGGGTTCCTGAATTAACTAGAACTATTGATTTGAAGGAAGTAAAAACTTATAACTAATTTTCAATAGTCACCTTCCATAATATCTATTTAAGGATATTTTCAGCAACCAATTGCAAAAAACAATGGTTTAGCTTATTTACAGCTTGAACCCACATTCAACTACAAATCAATGTCATGAAAAATAACTTCAAAAAATCTATAGAAACATTTTCAGCATAAGATTTGGCTTTCAACATTAAAATTTCAATTCTTTTTCAGTCAAAAACACAAAGCACTTAAGGTAAATATAAAGCCCTTGGTATTATAGTTGTCATCAGAATGAATCTACTATTCAAACCAATCAATGAAGGGCATTGGATTGAGCATTGGCTTTTCAAAAATTCATATTCAATCCAGATTAGAGAATGAAAACAACTGTTCATACATTCATGTCCAGGAATACATTTGTCTCCAAACATTTAAAATTGGTGAGTAAGGAATCTTTATCTTCAGCAACAATTAGACTCCTGTGATGCGGAATGCTATCCTGTTCTCACTCCTTGGTGGTAGCATTGTACAGTGTCCATGATGCGACATCTACCTTGTCAAAACCATGGTACAGTAAACATAAGTCTATTTGTCTGCCTACAGGCGTAGTAACGGGGCTTGCAATCAGTTCCAGTACGAATGAACAACGATTTATACTTTATAAGGTGTCATCTCGAGATACATCTACACTGTTGCAGGCTAATGTAGTTGCAGTTACTGTGATTATAATGTTATCTACAGGCTCCAGCACCACATGAATGCTCCACTTGCAAGGAGGATCGATCATATTCTAGATGAACACATTCTCACCTGAGATGCACCATCTGACCTGAGGTCCTACCCAATTGAGAATCCACAAGCCAGTCACTCAAAAAACCGAAGTGTTTTAGTCCTTCCATCTGGTGTGTATTACACAGTATGATATCGCAGAACTTATGTGAATAAAAGGGCCGGTTGGGTGGTTCTTCTGGGAGCCAAAAAGCTATCGTCTCCAAGCAGTGTGCATGTAGCACTGCGGTATCTACATGTCTGAACTCAGAAATAGAACCCTGGTTGAATGGTGTCGGTATCCGGACATATTTGAGCACTGATCTACGCTCCTCTCATGCACGACCAGCCAATGATTCTGAGCCCAAGTGGGTGATACCTTCGTTGCCAAAACCGCCGGGTCTCGGTCACAAGGAGTGTATTCTTCAAGTTAACCAATAATATATTGCAATTTACTGAAGGCAGTTGCCATGACTCAACAATGGACCTGCACGATGTGTGGAGGAGGTGGTTAGCCAAGGTGCCACTAAAAAAGGAAGTCCATAGAACATACAAAGAATGCCAATATTGCTGGAATATTTAATTTTGGCACATGCAGCGAGAAAATAAAAGTGCTTTGGTTGAGCTTCATAGTTGGAATACCTACCGAAAATGGTTCACAGCTTGGAAACCGATGTCCATGGGAGGGACAAGCATCTTACCATCGAAATTCTATCAGCAGGATTCCAGTCTCCGTCCTATCTTTTCCATTTAAACAGTGGCTCATGTGGAGGTGCGGCACACTGGACCGCATTCGCTTCAAAGAAAGCGGGAAGGTTGTTTGACTGACATTGTTACAAGGAAAGAGAAGCTCGTCCCGAGAGACCACGAGACTCAAGGCATGGTGTCTGGTCTTCTCGTGATAAATGGGCTGTAGTCCATCTGATAACACATCCACCCAAAGGGTTTTCGGAAGTTAAAACAATTGGAACTGTTGTCATTGGAAGGCATTGAAAATGAGACTTGACATTGAGGGATATAGCTTGAAAAAATGAGCAGTATGCTTAGATTTGAACAAATGAGATGATTCACAATTAGACAGAATTTAATGTCTACTCGTTCAAAAAGTCTTCGTTGTGACAGATTTTCATTTTTCCGTTTTATTCACTTGTTTATTTCGATTTTAATGTTTTTCTGCCTTTGATGCTCAGCAAAATACGTGATTATCCGGAAAGTAATGTTCAAGCCATATTACTAAAATCAACTTCTGTACTAGATCCACTGACGCTAGTACTTACACCAGCTGTGCGCAACGGCATCGTCATGAATTGGATGCTACTCGAGGGGTCATCTGAATTTTGTCCTGATGACGTGAGTCTTTCCAAGTCACACCCCCGCATCAAGCTTCTCGAATGAGCTTCAGAGTTGGTGCCACTCCGTTGAAACGCCCTAACATGTGGTTCCAAATAGCTTACAACATCCTGCACAAATCCAGTCATCTTTCAAGGTAACATTCAACGGCAGATGCCTAATAATCTTGAATGTTTCAAAGACGAGTACATGTACATAAGTTATGCTATGCATTACTTTCGAAATACACTAACAAGCCCCACAACGAGGAATTTCATGAACAGTTTTCAATGCCAGACTTCGTTCTCACAAGTGCATACTTACCTTCATAGCCGGCCTATCATTTTTGTTGAATGATGCGCACATCAATGCAACATTAGTCATGTCAGTAAACACTTCTTTGTCATAGTTCCCATCCAAAGCCACGTCCACCACGGCTTCAATACCCCTTTCACGGAATCTCGGTCGCACCTACACTCACAGAGACAAAGTAACATTTCAACACCCTTGAACTACAAAATCACCTCAACTAATAATTTTGGATCGAACTCCTAAATAGCAACGATGCTAATGGACCATGCTTCACGTCTATAGCAGGGATGACTTCTGCTATGGCATTGACCAGGTATGTAAACAGATTTATGGCAAGAATCAATATATTGAAGATGGTGCCTAGACGACGTCATACTTACCCACTCAATCAGATTGAATTCCTCTTTCCTGCTGTGATCAATAGCCTGTTGACCAGTGATAATCTCCAACAATAACACACCGTAGCCGTAAACGTCACTTGCAGTAGTTAACTGCCGCCTCAGAAAGTACTCTGGATCCAAGTATCTGCCGCGTTTCGAGCCAAGTAATTGTTAAAAACTGTAAATTTACACTACATAAATATTTTCACATGCCACTCTCATGCTCCAGAAACATTGAGGCAACCAAAGTACTAAGACAACCTCAAGAGGTGTCGGAATTGGGTATCAAAGACTCAGAGAATTGAGTCTTACCCGGCAGTGCCAGCAGGTCGGGTCGATATATGAGTGTCAAACTCTGGCGTAGCCTTCGAAATGCCGAAGTCTGCAACCTTGGCTACCATATACTCGTCAAGGAGAATATTAGTGGGTTTTATATCTCTGTGTATTACAGGTGGATCCTGCAGCCACAAAACCAACGATGCCAAGACGGCTTTCAGGAGATCCTCCAAACGGGTTGCGGTTCTCAATAATTCAGATGAGGCTCTCCTCGTAGAACACAGTCACGCACTTTGTGATAAACGCCTCACATTTCCATTTGACAATCAGTTATTCTCACTAGTGAAGGACAGGAGGTGGGTGTTAACATACTGCAAATGAATGAAGGTAATCCAAGCCTTGAGCGATACCAACAGCAATTTCCAGACGCTTGTACCATTCTAGTACCTTCCCTTCCTTCGCTCCTGCATGTCCACAATTAAGCCATCAGAAAACTCTTACAAAATTCACCAGCACAAAAGCACCAGTAATGTCACAGTTTCTATGATTGTCAATGCGTGAGGCACGAGATGATAACCAGCCACTTGCTCGAATGTATATTGGCACTTAATTTCATGTCAGTGGAAAAATATGGCAAATGAAGCACCATTAGCTGAGCAGACACATTGGATTAAAAGCACTAAAGTAAGTAAGTAAGACAGCAATAGGAATCCTGCTCTTACGTGCAATATGCTCGCCCAAATTGCCATTCTTCATGTACTCGTATACTAATATCTGTGAAAATAACACAGTCAATTATTTGAAAAAGAAAATAAGAAAAAAAAACTTATAGCAGTACAAACACAGAATCAGAACATTGGAATACTAACATGCAGACGATGCAACAGAATGTACCGGCAGAGCCACTTCAAACAAAGAACAAGAATGATAAGCAAGGTTTCAAGTTGACAAGAGAAACCTTCACTAATTAAAGTTACCTGAAGATCATGCTCGTCACAAAATCCCTCCAATCGAACAAGATGACGGTGATGCAATCGGCTCAGCAAATTAACTTCATTTCTAAATTCAATCTGGCCCTGTAAACCCGACGTTGACGCTCTCTTAATAGCCACCATCTTGCCATCCGCCAGAGTTCCATAAAACACTTTACCGAAACCACCTGCTCCAATCTCATGCTGCTTATCGAAGTTCCCCGTTGCCTTGGAAAGCTCTGCCATAGTAAACCTGTGCACGCCCTCAGGAACATCCCATTCCTCATCTGTTTAATCAAACAGATACAGTCAGCATAGCTCGATAAGACTTAGAGCTTGTAAAATTTGTCAATAAAGTTGAACATGGAAACTTAGCCTCTAGACTTCGAATCTCAATCGCCCAAATTGGCATCGAAATATACCAAACAACATTTCCATTGAAGAGAGTTCCGTAACTAGGGTGAGAATCTAACTATTGTTAAAGTAAATAAGCTAGTGAAAGAGCGTACCGTCATCGTTTGAAATAAAAAGTGAGAAGGGATCAAACGGGAGACGCTTATGGATGGGATCCCATCTACAAAGCGCCACCAGCAACACCACCATTGCAAGTGACCCAACTACACCACCAATCACTGCCCCATACGCAAATCCATTACGCCCTCCACCATATGGCTCAACTACAAAAACCAGTTAGCACCAATTAACCCTAAATCTCATAATAACAATCTCTGAAAGTCGAGGTACCAATCACACTCATGAAAAGATAACAGTAAAAAGTTATATTGGCAAGCAGGTAGTACAAAATGTAGAATACCATAATCTGCAGGCTTGCAAGTGCATATTGATAAGTCATCGTAGATGTAATTCCCAGCTGGACAGGGAGCACAGCCTGCATCACGCCGTGTTAAAAAAGAGATTACAAGCACTAATGCACGTCTTCAAAAACGCAGAATAACTTGCAAGGTCAATAAGAGATGTATTCTCTTACCCGCCTCCAACCTCATGTAAAAATCTCTGCAGAAAAACTGTCGATTACATATATTCCTGGTGTTGTCGGTCTCCCTCGTTGACTCATTAGCGAAGCAATTCCCTGTAATATTTCTGGAAAAAAGCAGAGGAAAATGATGATAAAATTCCAGACGTAATTCCACTTGAGCAGATTCAGGAAACACGAAGAAAGCAGAATGTCAACTTCGTGATTGAAGGTACACACGAGACAGTGAAGTTCAGAACTCACACAAGGCCTCCAAGTTGGAACGCAGGATAGCTTCCATTGAAATAGTTGCAATATCTGCACAGAGCAACATTAAAAAATCACCACAAGCACACTCCTTCCATATATATATATATATATATATTCAAAATTGGAGTCGTGAACAAATAGGGGGCAGAACCAACACAAAAACAGAAAAGTATAGATGGACCACCGCAGAGAGGAACTTACAGACTTATATTTGTACGAGTTGCGTTCAGTAGAGGCATTGTCATGCTTAACTCAGGGATTGGACCTTGAAAAGAGTTTCTTGACATCTCCCTGTTTGAAAGAATACCAGCATTTCTTTAGCATAAGCTCAGGCAAGCAACCATTGATAATCAGCTTTGTAAAAGCCAAAGACACTTACAGTTTCTCGATGGGGATGTTCACTATCCATTCTGGGAAAGGGCCAGAGAGAGTATTTTGGCCAATGTGTCTGCGAGTAATCATTCACATACAACGTCATTCTCAAAAAAAAAAACAAAATTCAAAAGGTTCAAACATTAAAGCTTCAGTATCGAGTTCTGAAGACCGCCCTGCTATCAAGTCTAACTTGTTGGATCAACACAACAGAGCCTCAACAAAAACAAAGCAATACAAAAAACTGAAAAAATATGAGGATATAGTCTGCAGTGATGGGTCATACAATTCTCTTAATGTTGTCAGAGCCTTCCAAGAGTCTGGAATGTATCCTGTTAAGTCATTATTGTATATCAGCCTGCAACAGGGATGGAGATACGAAAGCTCAGATAGAAATTGCAGAAACAAGAATGGAATTGGGCTCAAAAGTTGGCACTCAAAACATGGAGATGTTCAAAGTATATACAGGGAGTCGGACCTACATTCTTCTTATGCTCTTCATATTCGACCAAGATGGTGGAAGACCTCCCCAAAATGTGCTAGTGTGCATGTTCCTGCGATAGGGTGAACAAAGCTCAAAACAGGCAAACAAACTATTTTACGTGCACTATACGCAACAAAAGAGAAACTACAGACGAGTAAGAATCCGTAAATAGAAAATGATCACACCCTAAAGTTGAGAAAAGGATGAAAAGAGACATCAGATCTTAAACGTACAAGTATTGCAAGTTCACCAAATTGCCGAACTCTGGCGGAAGAGGGGATTTGAATTGACTCCCCCACAAAGTCCTACATCAAGCATATCCAAATATCAGTACTTGTACTTATAAAAATGGATCCCGACAAAAAATGTAGCATGTCTCACAATTTGATGGATAAATAACAACTGATTGTTCACAATGTGACGTATGTCATGCTTACAATTGTTGTAAGTTTATAAGTGATCCAAGACTTCTAGCTGGCAGTGGTCCGACAAATGAATTGTTTCCAAGGAACCTGTGCAGAAACAAACGTTAACAGTTAATTGCACAAGTTGAGCTGAAGGCACATTAAACGTAAGAGGAGTGAGATTAAGTACTTCTTATCTTGGTTAAGCAGAAGAGAAGCATTGGCCCTAAGCCAGCAGAATAGACACAGAGAAAGATAGCAAGTTCTCAAATTAGGTCGTCAACCTAGAAAATTGCACAAAACGTAGAAACTTGGAAGGAGTAACTTACAAGATCTCGAGCTTATTCAATTTTGAGATACCCTCCGGAAGGTGACCAGTAATTCCTGCGACATCATACCTCCTGTAGAAAGAAATTCATAAGAAATCCAAAGTCGGGATCCTCAAACTACACAGATGTAAGTATTCAAGACCAACGATAGACTATCCACTATCCACCTTCCGGAACTAAGACCATGAGTTGAATGAGCAAAAGAGTTGGAGGCTTACAGCTCAATCAGGTTCTTCAGCTGCAAAATTTCCATAGAGAATGACGCGTTCAAAGGATTTCGATAAAAATTCCTGAAACAAACAAAAACAGAAAATTAAGGAAACGAAAATAATGAGACACAATAGTGGTTGTCAAGCCAGTGCTCTGCGCGCAAACACCAGCTTATGAGGAAGCCGGAATATCTCATAACAGTTCTGTAGAATCTAAGTACACAACCACTCACAGCACTTGAAGATTCTGTAGAAGCGCCAGCTCTGAAGGGATGGGACCGGTGATAGCATTGTTGCTGAGGTCCAATCTTATCAACGAAGTCAATTGCCCGATTGCAGGAGATATGGGACCGGTCAACCCAGAAGCACTCAAATTCCTGCACACAAAACATAATGCCAATCATCGTTTCGAACACAAAAAGTCACAATTGTTTCGAATCCAAGTGCCATCGCCACCCTGGCATTTGAGAAATTCATCATGACTCGTCATATATATATGTCTTTGAATGAAAATACCGCAAGAACACCAAAATTCTACGTTGCAAAAAAAACCCTAACGGCAATGTTGTTCAAAGACAGAGTACTTACAACTCAACCACTTGTTTTGCGGAGCAAGTCACACCTTCCCACTGTATACATGGATCGGAGCCCATCCATGTTGGAAATAAACGACCCCACGAAGATGCCAATCGCAAAAGTGCGTCAGCTGGAACAGCACAACGACGCACAAGCAGAGCTGAGAAATACTAGACAAAAATTAATCAGGTTCTGATGATTCAGTGGGACGCGCTGCGTGGCTACAGAGATAGTATTAGCATCGGCACATCATTCGTTTGAAACCTAACTATTAGTTGGATTACTTTACTTAATGGGGGAAGGTTGAGAACATGCTTAAAGAACCGGAACATGTGCCAACAAGAAATGACACCCAAAAACATCCAACGCTATTGTAAAAGACACCCAAACCTACTAATCCTGGTAACGCATAAGCGATTGCTGCTGGTCTTAAGGAATCTTCAAGATAAATATTTCTTATTAGAAAGCAGAACAACGAGAGGACATGTTACCTTCAGGAGTGGCTGAGCACGAGGGGAAGCTCCAAAACAGCGCCACGGAAACTATCACAGACCACAACCTACACGTCCAAATCCCTGTTTGCACCATCCCGAACCCAACGAAGCTCAGGCAGAGAAACAAGATAATCCACGTAGTCTTTACTCCATGCAGTAACGGTTGCCGGATGTGAGCTATGAGAGATATTGTAAACTTCTTCGGGAAACCACTATACAATGCGTCACTGTGCACAATCTACCACCCAAACTGATCTTGCTGAGGGTAAACATTTTCTGCGTAGCTGTTCAATGAAGGAAAGAACGTCAGACATTACACTGGCGAGGAGTGAGACCTGATAGGTTGGTTCTTGAGGCGCGTTCCCTGTCGCCCATGTCTAATGCCCTGCCTCCACCCATCGTTGATGAAATGCAAGCGCTAATCTACCCACTCATCCCCTCGCGCGCCTTCTCCAAAAAACACTCGCATGCTCGAGTCCTGCGCCTTACACAGACCTCAATGGTAGACTCTCTGTCAATGTGATAAAATCCCTGTGAGTGATTAACACCGGCGCCTTACGCTCTGGCCAGAGCGGAGTTCGGCTTCGCACCCTACACTACATTGTAAGAAAACGGAATGAAAATAACATATTCGATCCAGTGTAGTAACTCCTTCGTTTCGCCAAAAACAATCTGCTGTGGACCTGTGAGGCTCTCCGCTCGGCCTGTGATGCCGCTCCCAGGATTGCCTTACCCGTATCCCTCACCAATCAACCGTTCATGATTTCTCTCCAATCTTCGCTCCACCAAAAGGTACTCTTAAAAACGATACACTCCTTAAGCAGCTTCAAACTCGTGCAACCAGAGTAGTCGACGCTCCTCTCCCACCTTCCCAAACCGTCGCAGCATTCATCACTAACGAAGCGTTCCGTAAGCAAAACTCTGCACGATTCCTCAGCTTGATCTATCAGTTGCAGTTTCCACTCCAGGCCAGCAAACTTTCCGATCTAGCGCAGTGACTGATCATCAACGAGAAGGAAGGTGACATTGCCCAGCTTTCATGCGGGCCGCCTCCCTCCACCGCTGCGATTGCAGACTTGGAACGCCGCATGCCGTGAGACTAGATCTTGGAAACGCCAACCCTGTATCAGAGGAAACAAAAAATTACAAATAAATAAATAAAGCTTCTGCTGCTTCCGTAGGCACTGTAGCTGCAACGTTGTGGCTGTGACACTATCCGGACCAAATCGTAGGCTAGCAGCATTGACGACGGAGCTTGCTCTGCAGTGACCCCCGCATTAGCACTCCTCCCAGCGAACTACGCCGCAGAATCTGGGGGGAGGATTTCCCTGATGGACTTCAAGCCTGCGGGTAGTAAAACTGTAACTTTGGCCAAAATTGAAGGCATTTCTATTACGTCAAAAGGATTCACGCAGAACCATTCACTCTCTCCCTCATCGGTGCAGAAATCGCTCCCAATCGTCCATCCACATTCCATTGCACCGCCGAAGCTTCCGCTCCAACTGGCTTCCATCAAGTACCCCTCGCTTCTCCTTTCCTAAAATCCCGCCCCCGCCAATTCACTAAATCCGATTTCCCGCACCATTTAACTTTACCCTGCTTTCGATCTTAAAACTTTACAACTTATTCTGCACGGTTAACTTACATTTCTTCGATGCCAGAAGTCGGCACAGAGCAATATCTAGCCCGATCGATACTTCGATCCACAACTAGGCAGGTTAAAGAGCTCGATCGAACGGCTTGGGAAGTGCGTTGTTAACGACCAACTTAGAAACGGGGCCACTGAACGGCATCGAATGAATACATCTCCCCGTGGCATATCCTCCGACGCCGTTCCATTCGAGCTCAGCTCTTAACTGCAACCAAGCTCTACAGTAATCACGTCACACGTGTCCTGGAACTGGCACAAAATAAGTGAACTCTTCCAGCGCCTTAAGCAGCAGCTCGTGTTACCCAGAATTCCTGCGATTACGGTGAGCGTTGCCACACTGCAAGCGACGTGTCACCCCGAGCGACAAGACGGCCACAAGGTCAGAATTATCCAGAAAAGAAAACAGCGTGGTCAAGCAGCCCCAGTGGGACACATTGTGGCGTGGTGCCTTCGACAAGAGTCCACACCATTGATGCGTGGTGGCACATCTCGAGAATCAGCCAGGGTGCATGGAATTTACGACGACGGGGAATCGTGCAGTGGGAAGAATGTAAAAGAGAGTGAGAGACTGTGACAGGCACTCACTCAGTCACCAATCTCTCAACAACCATTTGCACTCTTTGTGTGCACGGACTACATTTCTTCGCATTGTCAGAACCATGTCTGGACTTTGCCCAGGTACTTCTCCTCACGTTAAGATCAGCCGTTGAGCAGAAACTTTTCGCTTCTTTTCACAATCCTTCTCTGTAACTATCTAGATATGTTTTCTGTATATGCTTAACTTTAAACATACGTATAGTTTGTCTATCGTGTGTGCTACAGGCTCCTCAGGGCAGATTTGGCGTTGCTTGAGAACGAATGGTGTGATTTTACTGCGAAATTATCGTACTCAACTTAAGCTTTGTTTAAGCCAGACCTTCCTGTTTCGGTGGCTCCGAAGGTGGAAGAATGCGGTCAAGGGTGAATTTTTATTTTTATTTCTTTCTATGGAGTTCATGCTATAATAGGAGATGACCCAACGCTAATTCATGGGTTGTTGCTAATCAAATTCTTTTTATTCGTTCATTTTATTCTAATGATTCTTCACCTCACCTTCATATGATATTTCTGTGCCATGAAGACTTTCTAATCATGCAGCGTTGAAAACTATGAGATGGGTTAGATTGGAAGGTCTTGTTCTTTAGAACATTTCTGTGAGACTTCTCATGCTTCTTTCGGTGTCTGTCCAAACAGTGTCCTATTTTTGTGTGAAACTTGTTTCTAGGGTGATTTCTGTGTCAGAGTTTATACTTGCTATCAAAGAATAACGCCCTAAATAAATAAGCATTTCACTTATTCTAAACTCTTCTTTATCAATATTAATTGCATTATAATCAGTTTGAATTTTGGTTTTTGGGTAACCTATGTCGTGCATGGTTCAGTTGAATTTAATCTGATTCAACCTTGTTATTTTTTAAGAGTGATAAATAATATCTATTTCTAAAAATGTTCTTCATCAGATTTTTTTCAAGATAAAATTGTTGGTCTGAATTTAACATGCAAAATTCATTGTTCTTCACTGCATTAATTATGTAATTGAAATCATATATGTTACTATTTTCATCCTTCAGTCAATTTGGAGAACTAAAACTGATAACTAATTTAAACAAATAAAACAACAGAGATGGATACAGCTTTTAAACATGCATTGTTTATTTTTAAGTTTTGAAATGTATCAAAGGTTGTTGAATATTAAACATAAAAGTTTATTTATTTATTTATTTTTAACCTAAAGTTTTTGTTCTTTTCTTCTTGTAGATATTACTCATTTTTATTTAAAAAATAAACAAAGTAAATGGAGTAAAAATATTATACTCAAATATTTATTATATATATATATATATATATATATATAGATAGAAATGTTAAATATACCATTTTTTTTTTACTAAATTCACCTACCTATCTAAACCATCATCATATCCCTTTGTCCCTCATCTCATCTCAATTCTCTCATTTCCAATCATTGCAACTTCTCCAACTCTATTCCTAACTCTTGTCCCTTGTTCCCACCTTCCTCTCTATTCCTAGCACTTGTCTCTCCATTCCCACTATTCCTTGTTTGTCATCTTTATTTCCAATCTAATATTCCACCCAATCTTTGTGATCTATGAAAAGACTTTAATTCACGAGTTGCATAAGTCATCATGCATATTAGTAACCTTCAATATTTATTTCCACATATCTTTGTTAATAGTACCACACCATAACATATACAAATAAGCCACAAATAACTTCATTCCATGTCAAAGAATTCATTGCAGCTATTTCCATTTGTGGAGTCTTTAAAATAGGAGTCTAAGATATAGTGAATAATTTGATTGTTATAAATAGATATTGTGCAGCCTATACACAAGGATTACCAAATTATAATGAATCACCAATACACTTTGGTTATCTCATAAAATTGCATTGGCTTTGGAATTATAAATAAATAATATTATTTTCATTCTATCATCAAAGTATTTACATCCATATAAAATCCATCCCTTCTAAATAATCTCCAAGGTGCTTGGTTTTTTTTCATCCACACTCTAAGATCTTTGGTGCTTGATAATTATCAATTTTGTTTGTCCATTGATTTGAAAATAGGCCAGTTTGATGATATACCAAATCAAAGAAAGCACTACTACATTGTAAATATGTTGGTCAAACAAGGATTGTAACAAATATTTTCTTTCTTTCTATCTATAATTGGACCATGTATAAACTTCATAGATCCATTAATAGTATTAATGTAGTAGAAGCTATGCCTTCAAGTAGAACTTTCTTCTTTGGATCTTTGTCACGTATATGATAAAATGGATATTAATAATAGAGAAGAGAGCAAGAAAGCATAAGAAGGGAAGTGAATTGGACATAAGATTTAAAACCAATGAATAAGATAAAATAGTCACTAGTCAGTTTGACATTAGAAGAACAGATCAACCAATACAAATTAGTAGTCACTATTTTATATCATGTTTGTTACTCAAGACTCTTTCTTCTAGATCAAATCCTATTATTGCAAGTAAAGCCAACTTTTTTGTTTAAGATGTTGATATAATTAACTAATAAATTCAACTTGGCCACAAATTCTATTCGAATGGAAGTAAAGAATACTTAGTCTATTTAAAGTCATTGACTTTAGATTTATGCAATTGGAGATTTGTAACAATTGTACTATATTAAAGATAATATAATATTTTGTCATGATGTGAAGCTACATGCTGCAAGGTTCATCTTAGTGTTCATATTTGTTCATGTAATTAATATTTTTTCAATACTACAATTCTTCAATGCTTAGAGAGAACTTGAAAAAACCAATTTAAGTTTGTATTACAAACTATATTATAGATCCTATTGCAAATTGTGTGGCATCTAATAAATTGATATACAATTAATATCAACGACAAGAACTTCATAAAAATAAATAAATAAGTGAGACTTTTTTCAAAAAAAGATGACAAAATAGAAATAACTAAATATATATATTAAGAAAGAAATTGGAATGGCTATTGCCAAACGACAAGAAAATTAGAGACCTTTGAAACTAGAGACCTTTGAAAGTAGACTAGAAGTAAGAAACGAGTTGACAAGAATAAAGAAGGCTTCACTCTTGTCGCCATATATACTATCTACTTAAGAACTACATGGCGATGTTCTATAGAACCTCCAAAAAACATGTTAACTTTGCATAATATGTATCTTAACTTGCAAGGCAAGTTTTCTATGTAGGTGCCACATAGTTAGCTTGTTCCATAAGCTATTAATATGTGTAGTACATGATTAACTTGTTGACCAAGTTTTTAACCTACCAATTAAGTATAAACACATGTAAAGCTAAAGCAGTGTCTATGAAGCTTCTAGGAAGCTTTTTTAGAAGATATAATGAAATTAATCTATTTTTACCTACTTCTACCTATTCATATCATCTAGATAATAATTACAGTAAATATATGTCTATGACATTACTCCCCCTTCTAATGATGAGTTCTACGAGGAGTGGTCATCACATGTTGAGGAAGTCTATTATGTGGCAAATTATATTTGCTATATACTCTGATCTTTGTTCTCTTCAAAGATGATTGATAAGGCCTTTCAACTATCGATAGTATTCTATACTAGGGTAGGAAGACCATCCATTTATTTGATCATTGTTGAGGCCTTCATAACTTCCTTCAAATAAAACATTTGGAACACTTTTAGGAGTTATTTCTACCTCTACTAAAATCACCAAACATCGAAAGTCCCTTCCAAGTTTGTGATACCAAATACATTGTATCTCGCCATCTATCCAAGGAAGAATATGTCGTTCTTGAGGATCTTCATCTCAATTGTATCATCTTGAAGGTTGTTATAATCGTAATGTCTTGTCCAACAAGTCAGCAAACAAAGGCTTATATGTCAAATCCACTGGTTGTTGGTTGTCCATCTCCTCGGCATCACAACTACAAAGAAGCTATACACAAGGATTGAAAGTAGAATGTTATCTTTCCTAGAACTTGTTTCTTTTATACAAAAGGTTTTCATCTTGATTTTGGTAGATGTAGTTGATGAAAAGCCTCCATTGCCTTTGTTGCATTTGCAAGATTCTTTATTACTTCCCATATGCGTTCACTAATATCATATCCATGCCAATGGACAAGATATTCCAATTTATTTCAGTGTCACCTTGAATCTAGTACTTCTTCTATTTCAAACTCTTTATTATTGTCCACTTCTATAAGAAGAAGTGGAACTTGTCTTCTTCTTGATATATCTACTATCTTGTATGATTCAAAAAAAGACACGTGGAATACTAGATGGATTTTCATTGACTCTGAAAGGTGTAAATGTTATGCAATTAAATTGATTTGTGTAAAAATAGAAAATGGTCCAAGCCTTTGATAGTCCAACTTGTCACAAGGACGAGTCATCTTGATATTGCGATGAAGTAACCATACCTTGTCACCCATGTAGAATGGTGGTTATTCTTTTTGATAGACATCCGCATTGATCTTTTGTTGTTCTTGAGCTTCTTTTAACTATACCTTCATTATTGTATGTAGCTCTAGCAAATGATTTGCGAAATCTTTCACTACAAAATTATCAGCTTTTAAAAAGTCAAAAGTATCAAGTTGTGGATGATAACTATAATTGGCAAGAAAAGGTATTTATTTTATAAAAGAATGTACTATGTTATTATAAGCAAACTCTGCCAATGGCAAAAGAGTTTTCCAATCATCTTGTTGGTAGTTGATGGTACATCTTAAATACTACTCTACAACTTGATTAACATGCTCTATTTGTCCATCAATTTGAAGATGGAATATCGAAGATAGTTTTATACATATTTTTAGAATCTTAAAAAGAATTTGCCAAAATCTTGATATAAACTAAGTTTTCCTATTTGATATAATATCCTTGGATAATCCATGATAGCAATATATATTGTCAAGAAAGAGCTTAGCTATTTCTTCAGTTGTGATAGATTTTTTACATGGTACAAAATGTGCCATCTTGATAAAATGATCTATTATCATGAATATAGAGTCATAAGAACCTGAGATTGAAAGATCTATCATGAAATCTATAGAAACAAAAGACCATGGTTGTTTTGGAATGGTTAATGGCTGAAGAAGTCCATAAGATCAATGACAAGGAGTTTTTGATCTTCAGCAAACATCTTAAGATTGTACAAAATCTTTGATTGCCTTCTACATTTGGAGCCATGAAAAATCCCTGGATATTAGTTTCAAAATTTTATTATACCCAAAATGTCATGTTGTTGGAAATTCATGATGAGCTTAAAGAACATGTAATCGAGCTTCACCTTCTAGATAATGGTACCATTCTTGAATCCATGATTGCAAGAAATTCTTTGTCGTGGATCTTGTAGTTGATCTCAACTACTAAAAAATTTTTGGAATAAAAAGCTATTAGATGAAGTTTATCATCTGTTTCCATTTGTGACAATACGGCACCCAAAGCAAAGTCTGATGCATTTGTTTCCATAAAAAATGGCTTAGAAAAATCAACACTATACAAGATTGGTGCAAAAACAAAGGCTGTCTTTAAAGCTTCAAATGCTACTTCCGCTTT